AGACTTGAATTTGTTTTGCCTTTAAGCAGACATTATCTTTTCCCTAGTTATTGCCAGAGCTTATTGCTGATTTTGGTCTTTTATTCCATCTTCTATCCGGCTGTTGAATATAGAGGTTGATTTTTGTGTGAGTGTTTCTGCCTATTGGTACTCACCAACAGGACAAATCAATATGTCTGAACCGATCTGTTGCCATTTTTAGATGTTCAACATGAATGTTGCAAAAATACATCCAGTGCTACAATGGTGCATATAATTTAGATTTCCAAAGGATTTCAGCATGTCATCTTACATGGGCCCAATATAATAGTAACTCCTGTCACACTGTACAATAGAAGAGGCCTGACTGCACTACCTGCTGCTTCAGCAAAATCATGTCAGGCAAACCTAATGGATATTTCAGTCAAACAAAAAGCAGACACTAATGTTGGGCTTCTAATTCCCTCATTATTGGGCTTAAAAGAGGGAATGAAGGATGATTGAAAGACTCCTGGCTGGGCTGGTCACAGAGGCTGCACTGCATGTTTTTTTGTTTCCAGAAAATTTCTGGCGCAGCTTGACATTTGTAGTTGGTCATCTTTGGTCAGGAGGAAATCAGTAGTCAGTACATCTGTCATAATCACAGACAGGCTCAAAAGCAGAATGAAAATAATTTTCTTTTATGCCAAAAGGCTTTAGATTGAATAAAACCAACCCAGTGTGAACTTTGCATAAATTAAAGCATATTCATTTGTTAAGAAAAACCCTGTCAAAGTCCAGACCAAGGCAAGGCCTGCAAATAAATGTTCTCAAAAGCTATTTGAATCTGAATGAGCTTGAGCTGTTTTTGAAAGAAAAATGGTAAACAAGAAAAAAAATAGATTGGCTAGGCTTGTTGATGCATATTGAAGGACTTGCCTTTGTAGATGGATGGGGGGTGGGGAGGTTGTGTAACACAAACACATTTTTATTTTGCAAAGATAAAAGATGACCTTTAATTACTTTCCAATCTCATCATTATTACTTGGCACAGTCCTCTGTTGTGGAAAATTAAATCTATAGGATGTATTAAGGTCTGCAGTTATAATATAACACAATATGAAAAGGGTGTAAATACTTTAAGTAGCCCTACCCCTAAAAGTTCTTTTTTTTTTCATCAGATTGTCAAATATTCCAAGATGTTGTTTCTATAGAAACCTTCAAGTTAGCCATTCTGGGTTATCCAGGGCTTTTTAAGGGCAGAAACCAGACAGGAAAGTCCTCCAGCCCCCGTAAACTCCAAATCGCACCACATGTGGTTATAGATCCAGTTTATTTAGTCCTTATTGACTTTGACAAATGCAACAAACACAAAGGTTCTTCTCTATAATCCCACTCTTCCTTTATCTTTTAGTTATAAAAAAACCTCTGCCGTCCTGCTGCTCTGGAAGGTCATTATGTTTTAGTTGTAGGCTGGTGCATCAGCCTGCAATCTTAACCTTTTTTTCCCCTCACTTTTGTCTAAAATAGCCTCTTGTATGCTTGTTTTCAGATTGCTGGTCACATTTCTGCTGTAAATGTGAGCCACATAAATGTGATGTTTTAAATTAGACTGGCTGCAACAACCTTTTGGCTAAGAGATAACATCAGCTTTTCATTTGCTTGGTGTTGCCTCATAATTCATCCTAGTTATTGCCTGAATTTGATTTCAGCGTTCCTTCGCCAACTGCAGCATGTAGTTTACTCTTTATTAAGCAGGATAAAATTGTCCAATCAGATATTGGGTTCTGTGGATATTTTGCTTTGAGCACAAACACATCAGCTTGTAAATAGAATAATGGTTAAATGAAAAATACCAATATTGAAGGTGGCTAGTTTGTTAATGTGTTAATTCATTGAACAGTACATTTAATGAGGTTTATTTATATGCGGTCCTGTTAGAAAAACAAACAATGATATATTCTACTGGGATTTTATACGACAGCCACTTTGCCCAGTAGTGAGCAAAGTGGCTGAAGCTTCCTTTACCTTAATACCCTTAAATACATTTATTTTTAATTTTGACAAACTTAATTAAGAAGCTAAGTAATAATTGAACCTTTAATTTCTCACGGCAACATAAGGAGGCAGCATTATTCCTACTTAGGCTTCACAGTTCTTGGAAACCATACAAAGAAATGTTTTGCACAGATAGTCTGTCAAGACCAAGCTGCAAAAATGTAAACAAAAATAGCTGCAAAAACAGAATTATGTTATCTTCTTTCTGCATCTTTGAAAGTGAGACCAGTTCCTCTGTTTTTGCAGATTATGTATTGACTTAAAAATATTTTATATTTACAGGGGAAGAAAATCGTTGGTCCCAAATATACTAAATTAAGTGTTCCCAAAAGGTGCAGGATTTAAAAGAAATGTTCCCATCCTTTAAGTAAAACACCTGCCTCACATTGCTGTATAGAACTACAAAAAGCTCTTTCCTTAACATGGATTAATTGATATTAATGATTCAAATTAAAGCAGGTTGTGCGCTGCTGAGGAGTTCTAAAATGTCTTTTTAAATCCTTGTAAAGAATGCGCCTCAAAGTTCTCCAGATCACTGCAGCGGGTGTATTTTTGACCCCGGACTGAAAAGGCTCTGACGTGGCCACGCCTGCAGATCTGCAGTTAAGTCTGTATTTGGTGACAAAAGCTGTTTAAGGAGCTTGGAGAAAGTAAAGTGGTGCTCAGCTCATTATCCAATTGAAAGGTCCTCAGATGCCTCCAGCATCGAAGCAGACGCAAAAATACTCTCTCCCTCATAAAAGTCAGAATGTTTCATATTTGATTAAATTGTTCTCTTGGAAATATCAATGGTTTTTAGAGAACTAAGGTGGGAACCATAAGATGAAGGAGTAAATCTTATTTAGTTATCTAATTTTGCTGCATTACCTTTTAAGAAAATATATTATAAAAACAAATGATAAAAAATTAGATAAGCATTAGTTTGCCTATCTATCCTAATTTTTGCAGCTTTTGCAATTTTCTGCTACTATCTCTACTGGGATATTTCCTACAACTTGGCTTCAGTTCGTATCCTAAAGGAATTTCTGTATATTTTTTGGTTATTTATCAATAAAGTAATCGTCTACAATATACTAATCCTCAGCTGTGACTAAATGAGGTCACGTGACTCCAATAAAAAATGTCTACCACTTGGAGGTTGCTCAGAGTTATTTTAGTTAGATCAGGGTCATATTCTTTAATGTTCCGGTGGTTCAGAACCTGAAGCACTTCCAAGCTTTAAAAACAAACACTTTGTTCTTTAAACTTTATAGCTATAACTTAAGATAAGACTATTAAGACATAAGACATGAAGACATTTTTAAGGATTAACCTGTCTCTTTCATGATAAGCCACACGGATTATTTACTGACTGTTTTTATTTGAATTTAAATCGTTATTTACAGTATTTCTACAAACTCTATTTTTTAGGGCTATTAAGCTGTTTCAAAGAAATGCTCCATTGTTGGAATACAGTTAGACATGCAGATCAGATTTTTGAATCTTTCAGGAGATGATTTAACTCAGTAATTCATTTGTGCAAATTGGGCTTTACTTAGTTCTTCATTATTTTTGTAATGGCCTAATGCCAAATAGGTTGATAAACCGCGAGAATTGATTAGAAATTAATTTATAAAAAAAAAATAGAACCAATAACATTAAAGCTTTTTACTTTCAGCCTAAAACCGCCTTTATTTTACATTTTGCCAGCTTTATAATAGCAGATGGCATCTATTAGTGTCCACCCAGCTAGCCTTCTTAGCATTACAAAAGGAGAATTTCCCACACCTAGTACAAGTCAACAGGACTTGTTTTTTTAGTATTTTTTTAAGTGAGATAAGAGAGCCATCCTTAGGTTTGTTCCTTTTTCCACCGAAAGCTGGTTTAATTGCATGCGATCCAGCTGCTGCTTTTGATCCATATTTTCATGATCTTGGTATACTATAGCGTTACAGTATGTAATCTTTGTCGTCTCTATTTACAGCTGTAGCTTTGTCATCTCAGCCTCAGTCCTGACATGCCCAAAACCGACTGCTATCCATTTGTGATCCTGACCCGGCATAGACTACATACTACAGGGTTTGTCCAGACATTGGGCTTAAAGGCATCACAAAGATGCTTTATGATGCTTTATGGCCTAGTAATGTCCACATGCTGCTCCGCCTTCAACGTATTGAGCAATACACTTAAAGGGTTAAGTCTTTACAAAAGCTGGGACTCACTGCTTCTTAGTTCTTGAAGAAAAAGTGCCATTTGAAAACAGTTTCAAGCATAATTCATTTTAAGTGAGACCAGGATGGAGCATTTAGCAGGATGTTGTGAAATCAGTTCTTTAATTTTGCACTGAGTGCAATGGATAAACATAGTATGTTGGATGAATAATGTATATTGGTCTAGGTAACAGATAATTGACAGTTTTACCAGTGAAGTTGGGTACAGCTGATGGGAAAGGAAAAGTATAAATCTGGGCATGAGATATTTACATGCTTGAATTTCAGGAATCACACGGATTATCAAACATCTCTCTGTATAAAATGGTTAAAAAAAAGGAAATAAGGAGGTAATTTAAAATATTAACCTTATATATGTTCTGTTTCACACCTAAAGGTTACCCAGTAATGCTGTTTTTTCATTGTGTTCATGGGAAATCTGTCTCTTACACTTTTTGTGGTCTTTGTTTATTAGCTTAATCTTGTGAAACAATCTGGTGACTCGCAGCCTTATAAAAAGGATGACTTGGTATGTTTATTGGTAGACTTTGGCTTTAATAGCCTGCCATGTCAGCGTAAGATTGGGTTGGTTCATCCTTGGGCGCAGCTGTGAGGAGGATGTGTGAAATGAATTGCCTCCCCAGTCAGCTTTGCTCCACCTTGCAGGCTGGAGATTGGTGGCGGTGGGAGTAACAGCATCTGTGATTGGCGGGCATCCTCAGCCATTCATCTCATCATTAGGTGGCTGTCTCCTTTGTTGTAAACCAGGAGGGGGATTCATTGCGCAGCAAGCTGTGTTATTGTGTGTGGTGGTCTGGGACGGGCTTACTCAGGGTTATCAGGAGGCTGTTTAGGGTTCAGCTCAGTGCTCAGATCAGAGTGTCTATTTAAAACCACCTCCTCCCTCTCTTGAATGATTCAACAGCAGTATGCCCCTCCCCCCTCCACAGCTCCCATCAAGATCAGCTGGAGGAAGTGGTGGCTCAGCCAATGAGATTACAGTGGCAGACCTACACTGTTTGTTCCTGTGTGTGTTTCTAGAGCTGAAGGGAGGACAAGCCTGGACACACAGCAGCAGCAGATCCGTATTTATGTGTTTGAAAAAAAAATGTAGGGCAGCAGCTTGCTCTGTTTCTGCCTGCTGCATCTCTCTTCCTATCTTACTCCACTCCTTTGTTTCTGCTCAGTGACGGCTGACGCTGTTGTCGCAGCTCTACTTCCGTATATTCAAGGCTTGGCTCTCTTGGTTTCTCTGGAATCTACTGTTTCGATCTGGATTCACCTCAAGGATTTACAGAAGGGGCATGTAAGACCCCTGATCGGCAATCATCTGTGTGAGAGTGTGTGTGTTGCTGTATGTGGGTGGGTGTGAGAGTCGGGTGACTCAAATATCCAGCAATGCATTCCTGTTGGAAAATGAAGATTCAGGTAATTATTGTTGTTTTTATTGCTGTTGTTTCTGTTTCTGATTCTTATTGTTATTTTGTTCTTCACGTTAAAATGTGTGATGTTTAGAGGTGGTGAATGCTTATTGGGATTTTCTTTCTCTGGTTTTTATGTATAGGCCTTCAGTCTCTATGGAAAACACAAAGCCTTTGGATGCATTGTTATTCTTTGTATATGTCAGTTTATGTCAGAGAGGAGCTAATTAAGAGTCCAAGTCTGTGACCAGAGATGGCCCATCTGCTCCTTTGTGGTGGTGTAGGTGCGTTGTTTGCTTCCCTAGTCTAGATTTTTTATGCACATTCATTGCAGAGGAGGTTTGTTTGTACAGTCTAAGAAGCATATGCATCCTCTCTAATGTGAAAGGTTGACCCACTTTCTGCTTGCTGCCCTTTTGTTAAGAATGAGAGGGGGTTTGCAGCTTACAGCTTCATGTCCAGTGTAAAACATCACAAAAATACAGCTTTAAAATTCAGTAAACAAGAACCCACAAACCCACTCAGCCCTGCAGGAGTATGACCTGTTCATTCTCCATTTCCCTGGTGTTAAACTGTACTTATATGACAATGGATTAAGAGGCTGGAGCTCTAACTGCAAACCGATGCTCCAGACAAAACCAGTGACCTCAGTAGCAGAGCAGCCAGACATGTAAAATACTTTGTGGCTTTCACTGCACTGCTAAGCATGTCACATCATCTACTGATGAACCAAATCGCAGAGCTTTGTTTCAAATCGGCAGCTGTTTGGCTGGGTGGATGGGGGGGATTAGTGAAGTCACATGTCGGTGCCAGAGATTAAAGCTGTTGAACATTGGAGATGAGGAAACAGCCGAAGACGAAGATATGACTCTAGGTAGCAAACTATTCCCATTTTGAAGACCACAAACTTGACTGTATTTCATAGAGAAGATGTGAACCTTCAGTGTGTAAGGTGCATTCTGATAGAAAACGCTGCTTGGCTTTCAAATCTCTTTTCATGAAAATCTATAAAGTGGTGGGTATTGGAGTCAGTTATATTTTAAGTTTGGACTTTGACTAGGCCATTCTAATCCATCAATAGCGTATAGATGCTGCTCGGGCTGTAGTAAAATTTTCCATCAGTCTCCAGGCTTTGTTGCCTTTGACAGCTTTCGTTACAGGATTGTCTTGTTTTTGGATCCATCCATCTTCCTTTCATTCATGTGGAAACACATTCCATACATTTCAACTGCATAATGCTGCCAGACTTACGAGTCACCGTAGGCCTGGTAATGTCGTGCCGTGTTGATTTTCTGGTCCCATATTGCTATGCTATGAAGGCCAAAGGGACAACCTCTCAGGTCCTCCATGATGCATTTGTTTTCTTTGGTTAGTTTGGGGCATATAAGCTCATTAAAATGCATGTAGTTTTGTTGATTAGTATCACTGAATGTTTAAAGACAAAGTATCCATTATTGCAAGGCCAATGTATTGAACCTGGATGTTTGAAGGTATGAACTGTTGACCCTCCAGCCAGGTTTACGTTTGCTCTTCTGCGCTTCTTGGAGGCTATGAATATAGTAAGCACAGTAATGCAGCCATTAGTCAGATTTGTGCTGGATTGCTGATCTCTTTCTTGACTTTGTCATCCAAGTCATAATTAACAAGGGATTGAAACTGACAGTTTTGCTAATGAGGAAATGAGACTTTATTGCGGATATTGAAAACTCTTTCCACAGATCTTTGGGTGTATTTAGTCCTTTTTTTTGTACCCACCCTTCTCCCATTTCTCTCTCCTATATTTCACTTCTCCTAAAACATAATGTACACCCCTTATGAAAATTCACTCCTGATCGTCCTTGTTCCTCTGATTGGTCGTTGAAGAATAGTTTAGTAATGCATTTCTGAGAACCTTTGTGGAAAACATCTGCAATGATCTAAAGCTGACTGTCACCATCTCAACTTTACCACATCCTGTTTGGACATACTGATGTAATTATTGCGAAGATGAAGAGGGGGGGGATTGTCTGTGGAAGAGATGGAACAGGAGGAGAGGAAGGTGGTAGTAGGAAAACCACAATCATACATCCTGCCAAGGATCACACAGACATTCTTATTCATGCAGAAACATCTTCTCCCAGGACTTTTTTATCTCAGGATGGTGTGGTTTCATGATACCAACTGCATATGACCGCTGTAGGGCTACATATTGTAATTGTTAAAGTGGAATACCATTTCTTAGAAGAAATTATCTTTTAACAGATGTAGAGTTCCTTTATTGAGAACCAGCACCTAAACATGGGTTGCATTTCCACATTTGTCTGCAAATAGTGAATTTACAGTTTAGACATTCAAATTCATTTCCCTTCAAGCACAGCATTTGCTATTTAAAAAAATGCATTTTAAGTTTTTTATTAAATTTTAAACTTCTGAGGTCACTCAGGCTTTTCACAGTGTTGAGGTATCTCATCTGGTTCTGTTCTGCTGCTCAGCTGCAATACAGAAATTGGTCTGCATTTCCTCCTAAACTGACCGCTGGAGGACGACACAAACGGAAAGCCACAGAAAAGGTCCCTGTAGGCGCCTTTTATTCTGGATTGCTGTTATCTGTAACTTGTGCTCCATAAGGAGACAAAACTGCTGAATATCTTGTATCTCTGTGGGCATTTTTGTCCATATCAGCTGTATTTTCTAGTAAGCTGTATGTTTGTGTCAGATTTCTTTGCATGCTGATGGTTAGTAAGGGGTGACCTATTTTATTCTTTTAGATCAGACACTGAGTAAAGTCTGGTACAAATCATAAGCTTTACCCAGTTTCCCCTCTGCAGTTTGGCCCAGTTTTTTAGGGTTGTTTTCTTAACCAAAAGTTTGATTTAATTTAAAATGAAGTAGATTTGTTCCCCTCACTGCAGGGGAAGCTCTGAAGGTTAGTTTCCTTTAAACAGGCCCGGCAGGAAATATGCTGACAGCATATTTAGTCACAGTTCACACCCTTCATAAGGATATTATCAGGAAACTTAGGGAAAAACAAATTCCTTTTACATAGGGAAGCATCTGAAACTTTCAAATCTGTGTGGTTAATTTTTGTCACCATTTCAGATCTCTAGATTAAATGGAGCATATTTGATCTTGGACTTGTTATGGTTGTAGTGGACAATCAAATTTTTACTCAACATGATTTTTTGATTTGATTTTAATTTGAATGTGCAGCAAAGGATGCAAACGATTTAAGTCTAGGACAGATATTCACCTTCCGGCATGATGATTCTAAACATACAGCCTGGGCTCTGTGAGCTGCAGTGGTTTATGCCTAAATTGAATCCTGAATATGGTGTTGGCTGCATCATGCTGTTGGGAAGAAAATCTGTTGTAAATTGTGAATTAGGTAAAACTGGAATGGAGATTCACCCTTCAACAGAGTAATGTGCCTAAACATCTATAGCTACAAGAGGAAATGCTCAAATCTAAGCATTGTAATGTTCTAGTAAAGCTAGTAAAGCCTAGTAAAGGTCCAATAAATACAATAAAATAAAATGCATATAGCTTGTGCTGTCTCCTCCAAACCGTTTCCTCTGATTTATCTTTATATTTTGCACCATAGATGTCCTAGTTGATGTTGTGGATGAACTATAACTGTGTGAATTACTTTTATTAGGTTGTTTTTTTATGTTGCTTCTGTTGAATGAGGCACGGCGGCTTGAATAAGCCTCTCAAACGCAGTTATACGTTTTCTTGTCATATTTACTGACAGAACTTATTTGACAGAGTAATGAACTATGTTAACAAAAAAAAAAAAACTTTAATTGTAAATTCCTTTAACTCACACCTCATTATCACTGTCTGAGGAGATATCCTGCCTTTGACTTTTTCTTTCTTTACTACATTCCTCCTACACCCTCCTCATCTTGTTAAGCTCTCACTTAAGGAATTACGGTAAATCCGTGTCTCTATTTAGCAAAGAAAATACCACAAAACATCTCCCAGTCTGGAAAACTAGATGCTTATTATGCTGTCTGTTAGAGGTCTGGATGCAGCTTGTAGACATTCCTGCTGAACATAGTTCTCTGTTGGGATTGAGGCAATGTTTAACAAGACCTTTTTGCTGTTCAAAGTCTGTTTTTTTCCTTGGACGGTTTTAAAACAGAGGCTCACTGACTTATGTATCTAAACTGCCACTCCTCCTAGCTTGATGCTTGTTGTAATATTAATAATCTGTTACAACTCCTCAAATCATATTTAAGTGGCTAAATGTTTTTTTTTTCCCTGCTTTTCCTTTCATTGTACCACAGCAACAAATGAGAAGTAACTGTTTATTCATAGTAAGAAAAGGAGGCTTCAACTGTCATATTTTCCAAGATGATCCCCATCAATCCTCGGCTCTAAAGAACAGATGAAACAAGCCTGGGCAAGTTCCAGTTCAGGCGCAAAGATACTCTAAAAAAGTTAGTCTTGAAAACAGCAAAAGCATAAACACAGAAGCTTTGATATGTTTTTGCATCATTGGAATGTCTTTCCTCATTTATTTAAGGAAAATCTACCTATTTTTGTGTTTATTATTTAAATTGTTCCATTTTCCTTTATTCTTTATGCAATCTATTAAATTGTAACAGCTTTTTTTAAAGAAAAAAACTGTTGCTGCTGTAAGCAGGCTCAGTCTGAGACTTAGATTCTGAGAATTCTGAACACTCATGTCGTATGTAAATTATCTACAATAAAGTGACCAGAAACCCACAATATGTGCAGTAAAATTCACTTTTAAGGATCTAAATGGAGCATCAAAATTGATTGGTATAAATTGGATTTCGTCTAATTCTAATATAGGATAGGTCTTGTAAACATTCCATTTAGTTTTCATGATTAGCGATACAAATTCTGTTATATTTAAATGTGTGGACTATGATTTTACTAATGGATTCAGAGTTCTGAAAAGATATTTCACATTTTGCACTTCTGCTTTAAATAAGTTTCAGTTTAGTTAATTTAAATAGCAGCAAATTGTAACACATGTCAGCTTGATGCTCCTCACTA